GAGGTGATATGATAGCAATATTTGAGGGGCTGCCACAAGGAAGAGGGAGTCAAGCTATTCCCCAAAGCACCTGAAGGCAGAACAAGAAGCAATGGATGGAAAATTATCAAAGTGAGAACCAAGCTAGAAATAAGGAGAAATTGCTCCAGTGAGAACAATTAACCAGTGCAACAACTTGTCTCCAGAAGTTGTGGGTGCTCCATCACTGGAGGTATTCAAGAAAGGATTCGACAGCAATTTGTCTGGAATGGTATTGAGGGAAGACCCCCACCCTCTCCTAGAAGAATGAAATATTTTGAGAAATAGTAAAAAGGCAGAATATTATATTTCCCTAAAGGAAGTGTAGGAAGAGATATCCTTCTGGGTTCAGCTCCAAGTGGGGAAAAAGACACTGGAAACATGGAAACTGCTTGGAAAGATGGTTTAATGGTGGACGGGATCACATGGTTTGAGTTCCTGAACAGAAAAAGGGCAAGATGCTGAGCGTGCCTTGGTTTTATGCCCCCTCTGGCTCTGAACTTCCTGGGGCACAGGAAGGGTATTCTGTTTGGTTGTCAGACTCCCAGGGGGTGGGGGTCTTAGTCAGCCTTGCTGGCTGATGTAATCTTCTCAGGTGTCATGTGGTGAGTTTCTGTTGCTAGATGGGTCCTATTGTGTTGCAGATGATGGTCCATTGACAAAGGTGGGGGGAGGCAGGAAGCTGCTTTGTCTTTAAAACATGTTTCTCCATTTCTCATCCAGGGAAATATATTCTGCCTTTTTAATATTTCCGAAAATATTTGAGTTCCTGAACAGAAAAGGGGCGAGATACAGCGAGTCCCCAGGTTTTATGCTTTCTCTGGCTTTGAACTTCCTGGGGCCCTGAATGAGTATCCTGATTGGTTGTCAGACTCCCAGGGGGTGGGGGTCTTAGCTAGCCTTGCTGGCTGATGTAATCTTCCCAGGTGCCATGTGGTGAGTTTCTGTCTAGATGGGTCCCATTGTGTTAGTTTCTGTTGCTATTGTGTTGCAGATGAAGGTCCATTGACAAAGATTGAGTTTCTGCCTCTGGCCCATTAACAAAAGGGTGGGGTCAGGAAGGTGGGAGCTTTGTCTTTAAAAACATGCTTCTCCATTCATTCTTCTAGGAAAGGGGTGGATGCTAACTTCCTACAGAAGAATGGAGAAACATGCTCTTGGAGGCAGAAAGAGACAGATCCCACCTTTCTTAATAGCCCCCAGCAGATATTAAGAAAGACTGGGCCATCCTATCTACAACACAAAAGACCTCCAGTTCCAGGATGATGGGATTAAGACATGGCCCTCCAGGACATAATAGGATTAACCCACTAGCAGCAGAACTCACTACATTCCACAATCTCCTAAGGACATTGCATCAGCCAAGCTTCAACCAAACCTGGGAGCTCAGACAAACTCCTAGGATTTGTACCAGTGGTGGGTTCCTCCCAGTTTGGCCTGGTTCCTCCGAGCCGGTAGCGGTGATGATATGATGTCACCGAACCGGTTCTACCCCCTCCCCGCCTTCCCCTCCCCCCCGCGTTATTCTTACCTTTTATTTGGCCCCACCTCCAATCTATTGCTGCCTCCTGAGTCCCAGCTGATGGACTATAAGAAAAAACTGTTTAAACTCTTCCCGCAAGGCTTCAAAGGGCCGCCCTACAGCTGATCAGTGATAAAAGGCAGTTTTGTGGTAGACCAGTGCTTGCAAAAATAAATGGGTAGACTGGTACAGCTCTGCAAGCAGTTAAAAGCCTGGTAGACCAGTACCTCTGCTAAATCCTAAATAATTGTCACATGACCATCAAGCCACGCCCACAAAATAAGACACACCCACAGAACCGGTGGTAAAAAAATTTAGAACCCGCCCCTGATTTGTACATGGCCCCATTGGAGTCTGACAACAGCCAACAGAATACATGTTCTTGCACAGGAACAGGAAGCTCAAGTTCAAAGCCCAAGAGAGGGTATAAATACCCCTCACTCTCAACTCTATGTGGTCAGCTGCCCAGAACTCATGTGGTTCTGTTTCATTAAATCACCTTTCCAATCAGCCTCCATGTTTCCAGTGTCTCTCTCTCCTGGCTTGGAACTGAACCAGATGGATATGCCTCCCAACAGTATAGGGTCTCCTGCTTGAGCAGAGGGTTGGACTAGAAGACCTCCAGGGTCCCTTCCAACTTTGTTATTCTGTATAGCTGATATTATGGAGTGTTAAAATATAGAACCTCTCAACAGAGCTTTCTGCTCAAACGGATGATTACAAAAGAAAATGAGTAGACTGTAGTATTGATTTCCTGAAAGTTTGCTGCTCTTCTTGTTAAAGTATGTTGGAAAAGAAATTGAGTCCTTTTAAACCAAGAAAAAGAGTTGGTGGGTGATGAGTGACCTTGCATTTCCAAAAGCAAGAAAAAGTTTGGTCTGATGATTAAGGCACCAAGGTAGAAACCTGGAGACCATGAGTTCAAGTCCTGCCTTAGTCATGAATGCCAGCTGGGTGACTTTGGGCCAACGGCACTCTCTCTCTCTCAGCCCATCCCACTTCATAGGGTTGTTGTTGTGAGGAGAAAGGTGTATGTGGTACGTTTGCTGCCTTGAGTTATTTATAAAAATAATAGAGGAAGAATAAAACACATCTAAATAAATGAATGTCAGTAAGCAATGCCCAGAGCCAGCCCATCCTGAGCAGCAGTGATCTCAGCCAGCAGAGGTTTCATTTCTTTATTTAATCCTATCCCCCGCTTTTTAAAAGAAGATGAAGATCTTGGTTCTGCTGGATTTGAGGCAAAGAATGGGAGGAAGGAAATTAACCCTGGGTCAATATTCAATACTTGAGGGGCTGCCACAGAGAGGAGGGGGTCAACCTGTTTTTCAAAGCCAGTTGTGTCCCTTTCTGGATCGGGACTCGTTAAATACGGTCACTCATGCCCTCGTCACTTCCCACCTGGACTACTGCAATGCTCTCTACATGGGGCTCCCCTTGAGGAGCACCCGGAGGCTCCAGCTGGTCCAGAATGCGGCCGCGCCGGTGGTTATGGGAACAACGTGGTGCTCCCATGTTACCCCCCCTCCTGCGTGAGCTGTGCTGGCGCCCGGTGGTCTTCTGGGTGTGCTTCAAGGTTTTGGTTATCACCTTTAGAGCGCTCTATGGTTTAGGACCGGGGTATTTACGAGACCGCATTCTGCCACCAGTAGCCTCTCACCGACCAGTACGCTCCCATAGAGAGGGGCTTCTCAGGGTGCCGTCGGTCAAACAATGTTGACTGGCGGCCCCCAGGGGGACAGCCTTCTCTGTGGGGGCACCCGCCATCTGGAACGAGCTCCCCCCAGAGATATGGAGGATCCCGGATCTGCGCGCTTTCCGCCGTGTCCTCAAAACATTCCTATTTCAGCAGGCTGGCCTGGCCTAACTTTTCTTTTAAACTGTTTTTTAAATTTTAAATTTGTCTTATAAATTGGGGTGTTTTAAATTTGTTTTCTGGGCCAAATTATTTAATTGTATTTTAAATGGTTTTTTAACGTTTGTATTATATGTATTTTATCTTTTGGCTGTTCACCATCCTGAGTCCTTCGGGAGTAGGGCGGTATATAAATTCAATAAATAATAATAATAATAATAATAATAATAATAATAATAATAATAATAATAATAATAAAAAAGCACCTGAAGTCCAGACAAGGCATAATGGATGGAAACTGACCAAGGAGAAATTCAACCTAGAAATAAGGAGGAACTTTCTGTCAGTGATAACAATCAACCCATGGAACAGAAGTTGCCTTCGGAAGTTGTGGGAGCTTCATCACTTGAGACTTTCAAGAAAAGATTGGACTGCTGTTTGTCAGAAATGGTGTGTGGTCTCCTGCTTGAGCGGGGGATTGGACTAGGTGACCTATAAGATCCCTTCCAACTCTGTTCATCTGTTAATCTGTTAAAAAAATATTTCTCTAGGCTGGTCGGTTACTTGAGAAATTTATGTGGGCTAGTGGACACCCCCTCCTCTAAGATTTTCTCTAGCAAACTGGTGGTTTTTAATTTATCATTTATCAGATTGTTTTGGGGAAAGTGAGGTCTGGTTCTTTTTTTTTTTTTTTTTGAAGTTTTAGGATTGTTCTGTTTAATTGTGGCTTTATTTTTAAATGTAATTTGGTGTTTTGTATTGATTGCTTTCCTAAATTTAAATTTTAAAAAATCTGCTTTACTTTTCTGTTATACCAACACTCAAGCCCTCCTTCCCCCCCTCCCAAATACACAACCTAAAGCATAGGAGAACTTTCCTGGCATTGAGAACAATTAGTCAGTGGAATGGCCTGTCTCCAGAAGTTGTGGGTGCTCCAACACTGGAGGGTTTTAAGAAGAGACTGGGCAGCCATTTGTCTGAAATGGCATAGGATCTCCTGCTTGAGCAGGGGACTGGACTAGAAGACCTCCAAGGCCCCTTCCAACTCTGTTATTCGTTGTTGCCAGAGATTGCCAGGAATTGCATATGTCTAGTCTAATGAAAAGAAGGACTAGGGGTGACATGATAGCACTCTTCCAATATTTGAGGGGCTGCCACAAAGAAGAGGAGCCCAATCTATTTTCCAAAACACCTGAAGGCAAGACAAGAGCCTTGGTTGCACAGCAGACAAAAGTGCTGTTAAGTAGCATCAGCTGCCTGCAATTACTGCAAGTTCAAATCTCTCCAAGGCTCAAGGTTGACTCAGCCTTCCATCCTTCTGAGGTGGGTAAAATGAGGACCCGGATTGTGGGGGCAATAAGATGACTTTGTATAAAAAAGGACACCGCTTAGGGGGGGCCGAATGCCCTACTAAGCAGGTATATACAAAAGTATGAAGGCTATTGCTTAACGCATTGTAAGCCGTCCTGAGTCTCCGGAGAAGGGCGGCATATAAATCGAACCAATATAAAATAAATAAATAATATAAGAAGCAATGGACGAAAACTAATCAAGGAGAGAAGCAACCTAAAACTAAGGAGAAACTTCACCGGTGGAACGGCTTACCTTCATAAATTCTGAGGGCTTCATCACTGGAGCTTTTCTAGAAGAGATTGCACAGCCATTTGTTCAGAATCGTATAAGGTCTCCTGCTTGAGGGAGTTGGACTAGAGGACTTCAAGATTCCTTCCAACCCTATTGTTCTAGAATTCTAGAATGCTGAAAGGCAATAGTGAAGTATTGGAAGAGAGATGTGTGTCCTGGCCAGTCTTCCCAGAAGCTCTTGTTTTGTTTGTTTGTTTGTTTGTTTTATTAGATTTATATACCGCTCTACTCCCGCCCACCCCGCCCTGCCCCTCCCAGGAGTCCCCACGCAGGCCGTTTTGTATGTAGGTAAGTGCAGGGCGCATGCGAAGCTTTGGGGAGGGCGAAAAACGGCCCTACCAGAGGTTCAGGAAGGCCGGAAACGGGGCCATTTATGGTCTCCAGAGGGCCTCCTGGAGCCTGGGGAGGCCATTTTTGCCCTCCTGGAGGCTCAAGAAAATCCTCTGTAGCCCAGGAAGAGCAAAAACGCCCCCCGCCCGCCATGGTGCAGAAGGCCGACTAGGCCACGCTCACCATGCCCACACCCACCCAGCAACTGGGCAGAGAACCCCTTGCTAAAATTTTTGAAGCCCACCCCTGTCTTAAAGCAACCATTGATCTTCCGGAGCGATCATATGCCTCATGTTTAAAGAAGATTAAACAGTTAGTTCAGCTGGATTTGACACATGGGGAGCTCTATGGTACTCTTTGCCCAAGGCTGCAAAACATTTTGGATGAGCCTTGGGAGCTGACACAATTAACAATGTTTGTGTACACTCCATGACTGCATGATAATGCGAGGGCATGAGTGGGAAACTCCTGGAAATTAACCTTCCAGCTTGCAATGAAGGATTTCTCTGCTGTTGAAATGGTGGAAGGCTCCCTTTTAGGAGATTAAGTTCATCTGTCAGGTAAGATTTGCTGTATATATATATATATATATATATTGTTCAAGATGGACAAAACCCAGGATATTAAATAGTCAGAGATTGAAATCTCTGACTTTTTATTCAATATCCCCACCAAAGGGATCTTTTGCCTTTTCTTGTCTAATTTTTTTTTCTTTTATTAGGTTCTCTTAACAATAATGAGCCTAGAGACTATACCCTAAGCATACATTTACCGTACTTCCAGTGTTACTACTCTGTAGATCATTTCAAGAAGAAGCAACAAGTTTTGGAGTCCTTCACTTGCCATAGAAGGAAGATAGAGGTGTTATTTTGTCACCTGGGTTAGTAAAAAGGAGATAGAAATGGACTGCCTAGAGAAGCCCCTTTATTACAAGGCCACTCTACCGTGTTTTCCTGAAAATAAGACCCTTTCTTATATTTTTTTCAATTCTGAAATAAGCGCTTGGCCTTATTGCCATGCACTCAAAAGCCCGATTGGGCTTATTATCAGCGGATGTTTTAGTTTGGGGGAAACAGGGTAGTCAAAAGCCACCATCTTCCATTTTGCTGGCCTCTCCACAGATGCCCCTATAAATAAAAAATATTTTGCATTAACCTAATAACCTGATTAAGCAGAGGGAATTGGTTTAACTCCAACCAGCTCTAGACCTGTTTTAGGCTGAGGGAAAGAAACACCTCTCCTAGAAGAATGAAATATTTTGAGAAATATTTAAAACGGCAGGATAAAATCTTTTCCCTAAAGGAGAAACATGTTTCTAAAGACAGAAACCAGCTCCTTGCTCTCAGCAGATATTTGGTGCCCATTAAGAAAGACTGGGCCAGCCTATCTACAAGACAAAAGACCTTCAACTCCAGGGTGATGGGATTAAGACATGACCCTCCAGGACATAATAGGATTATCTAGCAGCAGAGCTTACCCCATGGCACAATCACCTGGGAACATTGCATCACCCTTCAGGCTTCAACCAAACTTGATTCAGACAACAAGGTTAGCTATGACCCCTACAGCAGCCAATAGAATACATGTCCTTGAACAGGAACAGGAAGCTCAAGAGCAAGGCCCAAGAGAAGATATAAATAACCTTCATTCTCAACTACATGTGGTCAGCTGCACCAGGACCAGAGGTGCTATTCAGCAGGTTCTGAAGGTTCTGGAGAACCGGTAGTGGAAATTTTGAGTAGTTTGGAGAACAAACAAATACCATCTCTGGCTGGCCCCAGAGTGGGATGGGAATGGAGATATTGCAGTATCCTTTTCCTGCCACGCCCACCAAGCCATGCCCACAGAACCGGTAGTAAAAAAAAATTGAATTCCATCACTGACCAGGACCGTGTGCTTGGTGATCCTATTCACAATTAAACCCTCTTTCCAATCAGCCTCCATGTTTCCATTGTCTTTCGCCCGGCTTGGAACTGAATCAGATGGATATTTCTTCCAACAGGGCTAAAATTAACCATCAACTATTTGGGTTAGTTATCCAAGTTAATTAACTGGGTAAGGATGTCTGTATTCTCTGTACACTCTCTTATTTAATTAGGTTTTGGTCTGAATGGGTTAGAGGGCTGGGAGGTTTTTCCCACATATAGAAAACTGTATAATACTTTTAATTCTCCCTCCCGTCATCAACAAGAAGACCATATCACTTGCATAAATATACATCAGTTGAAACTGTTCCAACATTTTTCATTAGAAGAGTGCATTTCCAGGAATGGGGGTGGGGGTGGGGGTGGTAAAGGTAATCCGAAGCCAGGCTTTGGAAATGAGAGGGGCCTGTTTTAAAGTCATTGAAATCAGGTAATAAAATGACCCAATAGTGACATTTCATGTATAGGAATTAAGTGTCCTATTAGCTTCTTGAAATGGCTTTTCAGGAAAGCTAAACAGCTTTCGCCCCCAAAACAGAGAAGTAGGCCAGCTAATTCTAAGCCAATTAAAGTAACATTTGATAGCACTGTGGTTCTGAATAGGTGATGAATTTAAAGCTGGAAATGGGGAAGGAATGAGCAAGCCTTTAAGAGAGGAATTTCAGAAAAGACAACTCCGTCCATCCTGAGAAGGAAACTCAAAAATAATCCCACCTTGATTCTGTTCGGTATAAAATGGAGTAGAGCAGGGGTGTCAAACTCGCGATGTCTTGTTGCCATCCCATGATGTTTCGCGATGTTTTTGTCATTGGCGGAGCCTGGGTGGGTGTGGCCTACGCGTGATGCATCTCGCCTGCAGGCTGCCAGTTTGATCCCCCCACCTTTTAAAAAGTAAAAAAAAAAAAAAGTTGGCCACCCCCACCCAGTCACATTACCCCCCACCAAGCCACACCCACAGAACCGGTAGTAACAAATTTTACATTTCACCACTGGCCAAGGGTGTCTTTGCAGCCCAAGTCCAACCTTCTGTGTTAGCGGTCATTCAGCATCACAGGTCCCTCACTCTTGATCTGAGCCATTTGACTTTCCCTTCCGATGTAGAAAGCTTCCAAATGAAACCACAAGCCAGAACAAGGCGTGATATGGTGTCACATCAGCTTCCAAAGCAATCTCTTTCTCAGGAACAGCATATGGTGGTCGGTTAGATTGCCCCTAATGAACCTCTTACGACTTGGGAAAGATGCCATCCTGATAGGATCATTGATTGAAGGCTCAAAAATTACCCAGAGAAGGTTTCTGACGCAGCATTCTCTGTTCTTCTAGAATTTTAGGCCATGTCCTTATTTACAAACCAGCCGTATTCAGTATGAAACTGAAATCTTTCATTGAACAAGAGTACCATGAAGAATAACAATGATGGCATGTTCACAGATGCGCCTTATTGTGGTTGGGAACGGAAAGTTTTCTGAAGGAGGACAAACAGAAGTTTGACAGTCAAGGTCAGTTTTCTGTTTTCCCTGCGATTGTAGTGCTTGAGTAGACATTTATGGCCATGCTGAGTGTTCTCGAGCAGTTGGCAGAACTCCAAGTTCTTATTTGTACAGTGCATTATTTGAAATGACAAATATATGTAATAATCCGTTCAGAACAATAACACCTTCTCTGGAGAGTTGGTACTTAACACAGAAGAAGGCTTCTTTCTCTCTGTTGTATGGCTTTTAATAGGTTTTCTTTGCTTTTTTCAGATCAAATTTCCAGATTTGAGGATGGAGCCAAGCAAGTTTACATATCTGCAGCAGACTTTTCCTGCTGTGGTGTCCTCGCTGTGGAATCTTCTCCCCCAAGAGATAGGGTTGGCCTCATATCCCTTGAGCTTCTGAATGTCCCTCAAGATCTGGTTAGAATAGAATAGAAATAGAAATAGAGATAGAGATAGAGATAGAGATAGAGATAGAGATAGAGATAGAGATAGAACAGAACAGAACAGAACAGAACAGAACAGAACAGAATAGAATAGAATAGAATAACAGAGTTGGAAGGGATCTTGGAGGTCTTCTAATCCAACCCCCTGCTTAGGCAGGAAACCCTACACCACTTCAGACAAATGGTTATCCAACATCATCTTAAAAACTTCCAGTGTTGGAGCATTCGCAACTTCTGCAGGCAAGTTGTTCCACTGATTAATTGTTCTAACTGTCAGGAAATTTCTCCTTAGTTCTAGGTTGTTTCTCTCCTTGATTAGTTTCCACCCATTGCTTCTTGTCCTGCCCTCAGGTGCTTTGGAGAACAGCTTGACTCCCTCTTCTTTGTAGCAGCCCCTGAGATAATGAAACACTGCTATCATGTCTCCCCTAGTTCTTCTTTTCATCAAACTAGACTTACCCAGTTCCAGCAACCATTCTTCATATGTTTTAGCCTGCAGTCCCCTAATCATCTTTGTTGCTCTTCTCTGCACTCTTTCTAGAGTCTCCGCATCTTTTTTACATCGTGGCGACCAAAACTGGATGCAGTATTCCACGTGTGGTTTTACCAAGGCATTATAATGTGGTATTAACACTTTACGTGATCTTGATTCTATCCCTCTGTTTATGCAGCCCAGAACTGTGTTGGCTTTTTTGGCAGCTGCTGCACACTGCTGGCTCATATTTAAATGATTGTCCACTAGGACTCCAATATCCCTCTCACAGTCACCACTATTGAGCAAGGTACCACATATACTGTACCTGTGCATTTTGTTTTTTTTGCCTAAATGTAGA